CCTCCTCCCCCTCCTCCTCCTCCTCCTCCCTTTTCCTTTCCCCTGATTTGGTGGATCCCATTGTATGGGACACCTCCTCCCCTGTGGTGGCAACGCACCATCAGCCTGTTCTTATCCATCAGAAAGACCTCTCCTCTTTCCCTGCTCCATCTCAATTTCCCATCTGGGTAAAACTGTCAAGAGTCTGTTGCTCATTATTAATCACCCTAAAAGTAAGGGCATGGATTCACAGGGGAAAAGACAGGCCTCCTATGATATTGTCTCCAGCCAAGGGGAGATGGTAGAGGCCCAGCGCTTCCCTGAGGGAACAATATCTCAAGAGGCTGAATTGGTGGCCCTTACAAGGGCCCTCCATCTAGCTAGAGGAAAAAGATTCATCCAGAGCCACATCCAAGAAATGACCAGAGGAACAGTTAATCAGCTTCTTCTCCACCAGTATACTCACCTGCCAGCTACCCCTCTGGCATACTAGACAACCGGCATACAGCCCCACGGTGCCCCTGTCCAGCAGGAAATAGCCAGATGACTACTGACGCCCTATTACCAAAGATGCAAGGGCATCTGTTGTGGCTCCTGCTGGTCCCAGAAGCCCCGATGGTGCCAGCTCATTGGTCCCACTCTTCCTCCCAGCTCTCTGAGTGTCTTCAGCCCCCAGGTCCTAAGCTGCTAGTGGTTCTCCCAGTCAGTGGCTAAGCCCTGAGTGACACAGAAGAAAAGGCTCCCCAGAGAATCCACCGTCCCCTGGAATGGGCCACATCCAGTCCCAGAGGAAGTCAGGAGGAGAGTTTGTAAGACAACATCATGAGTCACCACAGTTAATGACTTCCCAGAAGAGCAGGGCTGGACACTGAGCCCTTCAAAACACATACCTAGTCCCGAGTTAGAAACCCACAGCGTGGGGCCACCTGTGCCATGTACTCATTGTGGGAAATCTGACTGGTGCACAGAGAGGGAACCGTGCTGCTGTAGTCTGGAAGAGGGAGAGCCACAGAAGAGGAATGCTTTAGTCTAGTTTCTGATGCTACAACAATATGCCTGAGACTGAGCAAATTTATGAAGACTAACAGTTCTGGAGGCTAGAAGTCCAAAAGTAAGGCTCCAGCTTCTGGTGTATCATAATGTGGCATGAACACCATGTGGTGAGATAGTGTAAATGTGCTAGCGTGGACTCTCTTCCTCTGCGTAGAAAGCCATTAGCACTCTCACAGGGGCCCATCCTTATGATCTCATCTAATCCTAGCCATTCCCTCAGGCCTCACCTCCAAATACCACGAACATAGGATTTGGGGTATTAAGCACATAAACTTTTGGAGGATACATTCAAAACACATTAAGGAGTCACCCAATGGGATTGAGTTGTGCCCAGATTAAGAAAACATCAGCTGGCAGAATTGGACCAGGCAGGGAGGGAGTCAGGAGTCATAACTTGACGGCTTTCTTCCTTGCCCTTCCATCTTCATTGGTGCCTCCCATTGGCTGAGCCCAGCTAGAGGTTCAGCCAGAGAATAAGGAACCTGGGCCATATGATCCTTAGAAGTTAAGAGTCCCTCTGAGGCCCAAGGTAAGGCCCAGAAGAATAGAACCTGGATTGATATGGGGGAGGGAGAGGGTGTGTGTGTGTGTGTGTGTGTGTGTGTGTGTGTGTGTGTGTGT